CCAGTTTCTGTCCATCCAGGTGTACATTTACCTCTGTGTCTGCAGACACATTCTATTAGAAGCAAACAATGGATTATGCTTTAACAACGGCTCTGCCACTTCTTTTACTTTGAAAGAGCACTGTCCCGGCATCCTCCAGTGTCAGTACATGGACCCCTACTGTCCCTTTTCCACCCACAGCAGGGTGTCATCCCACAGCCTGGACACAGGCCTCCTATGCCAAGCAGATTAAACACTTCGTGAGAAGGGACTGTACTTTCTCACATAAAGAGCAAGTGCTCAGGCCTGCAGCTGGTGGAGAGAGACCGTCATGTCTCAGAGGACCAGGTAGCGCCAAGATTCTGACCTCTCTGATTTTTTAAGGGGTTTGGGGGAGGTGATGGATCTGAGAGGTGATGGGGTCTGGCAAGTGATAGTTTGGAAAGATGGTGGGGTCTGGAAAGAGATGGGCCTGGGGGTTGGGGTCTGGGAGGTGAGGCAGAGGGGATGGGTCTGAATACTCCTTGGGATGCAATGCCTAGTCCTGCACGGTCAGGGTGGCTCCCAAACAAGCCGGGCCGGTCAGATGCAGGCAACCCTCCCCTCCGCAGCTGTGGTTGCCCTCTGCTACTCAGCCTCTGGTTTCCTACACACCTCTGAGGTGCACCTCTCTGGGCGCCTCCTCATCTCTCATCCAGGTGGGACGGTGGCGAGTCCCCTCCCTTCTTTCCAAGGCTTAGCAGCTCTGAATCATAGACCAAGACCTGGGGCAGCCAAGAGCTTTTCCTTCCTCTTCCTTTAGGCCCTACTGCTTGAAAAACAGGTCTGTTGCCACAACAGGAACCAATGCACCCAAAGGACACACTTTGTGTCATGGGCTGCAAGTTTAGGAAACCAACAGGACAGACCCTGTGGAGTCTGAGGGTTCTTTGGCTTTTGAGATGCCTGCCTGTGAGCTCGTTTTTCCCGCCCTTTCTCCCTGTCCTTCAATAAGCACTCATGGCCCTGCCCATGGACCAGGCACTGCGCTAAGCACTGGGCACTGAGACGTGAAGTAGCAATTTCTTACTACCCTCCATGCAAACATTCCATTCTTCTTTTGCAGCAGGTTTTTGCATTCTGCTTTGTTGAGGTTTTATGGTTTTGATGTGTTTCTTGATCTCATGCTGTCCCTGATCTCCAAGTCCCCTGGGCCAACTCAGAGACATCTGGGCTGGTCCCTGTGCCCTGTTTCTTCTGGCTGTGCTCCAAGTGCTTGGCCCTGGCCAAGCATTCCAGGGACAGAAGAAACAGTAACCCTCACTGGACCCTGCTTTCTTCCCCTAGAGGAGAACCCACACTGGCCTTGTTAAAGGTCTTGATGGCCCCACCCTGGAGTGCCTGCACCTCACAGGCTCCCACATGCACCTCCCTGTCCAGCCTGGCTCCCTGTGTTCACACAGCCTGGGTGTGACACTAGGGGAGTGTGTTTGAGGCTGAATGAATGGACAAGTCACCAGCTGGAAAGAGAAGCTCAGAGAGGGAATGAGTTCACCTCTCCATGAGTTCTAAAAGATCATGTGCACAAATGAAAATAGTTGCCTTGATTTGGAAGAATCGGGGGCATTAGGACAACGCTGTTTTCCTCTGTTTTCTAAGTAAGGGTGTATTTTTTCCAGCAGAAAATAGGAATGCTAAGAAGAAGGGTATCTAGCACTTGAGCCCCCACTGCCACAGTCTCTCTCCTTGACTGTAGGGCCAGGCAGCTTCTCTGGAAGGTGGATTCCTGGTCATCCACAAGGGAGTGACAAAGGCGGGTGGGGTGCCTTTGGAGGAAGCCCCAGGTGGAAGTATAAGTTTGAGCAGAAAGGCCTGGGGCCAGGGTCCTTGCAGGATGCATCTGCTAAATTCTGTTATTTACTTAACAACCACTCCAGAGTCTAAGAAGGCAGGCGGCGGCTATCTGAGGGGTGCTGTGAGTGAAACCTGAAGGACGATGCGTTGCACTGGAGCAAACCAACCTAGCCCCAAACATGCTGAGACTGCATTCCAGAGACCCACTGGCCCAGCCCTGTGGCTCTGATGTTTCGGGCAAGTTGGGCCAAATTCCTGGTGCAGCTTGCTGGGCAGGTTGTGAGCTCTCGTGGGGGAGGTGCAGGGTCCGGTCCCTCTCTGGGGCAGAGAAGGCGGGCTCCAAACAGGGAAGAAGAGGGATCTTACTCCTGGAGTTGAACAGAGGGAATGGACTAAGTTCAAGGTATGCGGCATGCCCTTTACATTTTGCCTGAGCCCAGGCTGCCCTTGGCCTTTCTGGGTCTGACCAGGAGCCTCCCCAGCCCCAGGACTCACCTGCACTGTCCCCTTGGCCTGGCACCCTCCCTCCCTCTTCCTGCACATCCACATTCCATGCAGCCTCACAGGCCTTCCTCAAACTCCACTGCAGCATCAGTTCTGTTCTCCTCCCCTTCCAGAACTTGCCCCCAATGCCTGTTCCTTCTGCCCTGGACTCCTGTGGCTGTTTATATTCTGCCTCCTCCCTGCTCCATCGCTTTCCTCAGACTCTTACTGTTGATCTCTGTATGTGCGCTTGAAGCCTGCAATGTGTGGTGCAGTGCCAGACCCTCCTCCAGGAGATGGCATGAGGCCTGGTGTGTGCTGTTCCTGTGTTGGGAAGGCTCTCTCCCTTCACCTGGTAACCACTGCCCACCAGTCCAAAGGGCACTTCCTCCCACAAGCTTCCCTATAGACCAGGCTGGGCCGGTGGTGTACCTGGGCTCCCTGCAGTGTGCTATGCTTGACTCAGATCTGCCTTCTGAGCCTCATGATAAGCTTCAAAGAGGCAGGGGCCCCTCCTCCATGGCGTCCCCATTGCCCAGCACTTACTGAATGTGGGCTGGAGGCAGGAGGCTCTATTGAGCTTACTGTTACATCCACAGGGTGGGCACAGGGGTACTACCCAAAAGGTATTCAGAAACAGGGACCCACTGTGCAGCCTGCCCCCACCCCAACTTTGTTCTAGAACGGTTGGTCCATGTGCTCCCTGCTATGATCTGAATATCTATGTCCCCTCCCCAAATTCCTATGTTGAAATCCTAACCCCCCAAGATGATGGTGTCAGGGCTGAGACCTTCGGGAGGTGATCAGATCATAAAGATGGAGCCCTCATGAATGGTATCAGTGTCCTTAGAAAAGAGGCCCCAGAGAGACCCTTCACCTCCTCCAACGTGTGAGGACACCACAAGAAGGTGCCGTCTGTGAGCCAGAAAGCGGACCCTCAACACACGCGGAATCTGCAACACCTTGATCTAGGACTTACAACCTCCAGAACAGCAAGAAACAGGCTCCTGCTGTTGACAAGCCTCCTGGTCTACCGTAGTTTATTACAGCAGCCCGAACAGACTGAGACACGGTCTCTGAGCACTTTGCCTGCAGTCACGGGCAAAGGGTGCCCAGCATAAGCCCTGGCCAGGTGCCTCTCAGCCTCACTTGCTGTCCCTCTTGAAAAGAGCTCTCCTAGGGAGCAGGGACTCTGTCTTTCCTACTCACATACCCTCTACCCTCCATCCCCATCCACAAGACACCCAGACAATGCCAGCCTGTTGTGCCACATCTCCCTGGTTCTAGAAAACATGATCCTACAAGAGGGTGGGGAAAAGAGCTCATGCAGATCATTGTCCCTGGAGGCAGTGGGCACACGGAGCCCGTGGCCTGTCAGAGGACAGTGCCCTGGTGAGCAGCCACCACTTCTGATTTTCCAGTTTGTGGATTTGTGCAGTAGACACAGAGCCTGCCTGCTGGAATCAAGAGGCCTGGTCACCAGCCATGTGGTCTGGGCACATTAACTCCCATTGCTAGCCTGTATGGTGGGTGACACCTGCCAGCAAGGCTCTGTGGGATTAAATGAGGCCATGCAGGCAAAGTGCCTGTGGCAGTGCTGGGACTTAGCAGGCCCTCAGTAACAGGTTCTCCTCCTGCGCTGAGGCCAAGGCAGCTGCGGCTGCCATTCCCCCATCCACCAGCAGGTGCCCTCACTGCTTCACGCCTTCAATGGAACACAGGGCTGTGGGTGACTGTGTCTGTGAGACAAATAAAATCCCTAGGGGTAAGTGTGGGTTCAGGGTAGCTCTCTGAACTCATGTCTGCACCCAGCCTCGGCATCCATAAATGGGGATGACGACCCCCACTACCTTCTGTTCCCAGAGGTGAAGGTCCCAAGCCCTGTCCACCAGGGCAGGTGCTCAGGGCCACGCCTGAGATGACCATGAAGACTGGATTTGGGAGGCTGCCGATGTCTGCATGGAGCTGGCATTTGACTGGCAATTGCTAATCTTGAGCAGGGTTTTCATTGAGGGCTCGAAGCTTTAGAGGTGCAGTGTCACTCAGGTTCAAGGTACTCAGCAGTTCTGTGCCCTTGGGCAGCTACTTAACACTTCTGAGCCTCTGTTACCTCATCAGTAAAATGGGAGTCATCTTACCTACCTCAAAAATCAATGCACCTGCTACTATGGATGGGCAACTCCTGCCCCATTAATCTTTCCCTAAACACGTCCCTCTCCCCACAATCTCCTCTCTCCCCCTGAACACATACAAGCTGGAGGTAACCTCTTCCTTCCCCAGGCTGGCTCTGCAATGGCAACTTTCCAATTCCTACTTTGTGGAAAGCTGCCCAAGGCCAAGTTAATATTTGACAGAAGCCCCAGATCCACCCTCTTATTCACACCCACTGGGAAGACTGAGGACACTCACTGAGTTACTACTGGCTGAAGTTATTTTTCCATATCCTGCTGGAAACCGAAATATGGTCCTGGGCTTCTGATAAGTATCAACCACCTCACTGATCAGCAGGTGGCCCAGAGCACTTGGGGAAGCTGTGCTGGGAAATGAAGACAGGTCCATCTTTACTCACCAATGCCTCTCTCTTACCAATATCTCTCTATTTACCAATGCCTCTCTATTACCAGTGCCTCACTCCTCACCAGTGCTTCTTACATCCAAACAGGGCACTTACATGTCCTCCTCTGGTGGTCAAGCACAGACAAGGCTGGAGCCATCCAGCATTGGCTAAGGTTTAATGAGCACTCACCAGAGGTTGGGTTCGGCTTGGGGCTGAGGATATGCTAGGGTGGGGAAGGAGAGAGGCAGATGGGGGTGGTTGGAGGACGCCCTGCTGAGGGTAGAGTCTAGTCATGAAGATGAACATCAAGCGGAGAACTCCAGGTGGAAGGAAGGGGTCACAGAGATAGGGACAAACTCGCTTGACGCTGGCCGGGCTGCCCTCCTCATCCTCTGAAGCCTCTTTCAGAGATTGCCGCCCCTCTGCCGTATCAAAGGAGGGCTGGGACTGCTGAGCTCCACTGAGCTGCCCCGGGAGTGAGCTTTCCCCAAAGGCTCAGGCCCAAGTAGGAAAGAGTTAGCAACAGAGGCTTGAAAGAAGTAGCAAAATACCAAACAAAACCACAAACAAAACCCCTCCAGACCAGGCAAGGACATTATTAGGAGTTGATAGGATCTTCTTGTTTTTAATTAGTGTGTGCTGATGGGAAATCTCCAAGCTGCTTTCGCTGGACTGCCCGAGGGTCATCTCACCCCCGCTGCGGCTTCCTGTGGCCACCTTGCTTTAAGGCTTGTTCCCAGGACGGTCTCCTAGGGAGGAAGAAGATGTCCTCTCAGAGGCCAGCGGGTCCAACTAAGGAGCTATGAGATGCCCACGGTGGGTGAGGACCTGGGCTCCTGAAGTCCCACAGCCCATTGTGCCCAGAGAGATGCTGCCCTGGGGACCCGACACAGTGGCAACTTGGTTGCAGCCATCCGAGCTAGCAGCTCACAGAGGCACAGCGGGGTTTTCTCATTTCAAATGCCTGGCCCCTTTCCAGAGGCGCTTAGAATGGCCAGCTGATGGGAGCTCTACTTTTCTTTGCAAAAGGCCTCTACGAATGTACTTCTCTCCCTAGGGACTGGGAAGGAGGAAGAATTGTGCAGCAGGGAGAGATGAGGGCCCCACTGGAGAGAGGGGAGCCCCTTGTCCTGCCTGCAGCAGCTGCCAGTGAAAAGAAAGAAGGGTTGGGAGTCTGAGCTGGAGGCTGCGGGGCCAATTCCCTCTTGGCAGGAGAGAATCCGGACTGGGGCGGATTTCAGGCTTCAGTGTTTGTAGGAGGAAACACAGCAATCCACTATTAATAGTAAATTAAAATAAACGGGCAACTGCTGTATGGTAATAATTGTTTTGTTTTTTTTTTTTTTTTAAGGCAAAAAATAATAAATAGTGAAACAGAAACAAAACAGGAAACACTGGCCGTCAACAGGCAGCAAAGAACATGCGGGTGGAGGTAGCAGCGCTCCCACCCTCAAAAGGCCCGGGCTGCTCAGACCAAGAGAAAGAGATGAATCTCCTCTGGTAACGTCCCTTCCTGTCCCATGGAGCCAAGGCAGACCTGCCCCAGCACCACCACCAGCAGCCTTCTGCTGGGGCCGGCATGGCTGGGAGCAACCTCCCACCCTGAGGCAGGAGCGCAGCGCCAAGTAGAGAGGCCCCGTGCACGTTCCCAGCGCCGAACCAGCGCCGGCTCGGTGGACGCGGAACGGGCCGGCGGCCGGGGCTGGTCCCAGCCCCCACTGCAGACCCCCAGGCTGTGGCGGCGGTCCCGTTCCGCCAGGAAATCGCCACCTGGAGCTGTGGGTCGCGCACATTAACGCATCCAGCGGCAAAATGAAGGAGACCCAAATTCAAAGTTAGAGCAATGGTGACCCGAGGGGTGCCTTGGTGAGGTTTGGGGTCCCGGTTACTGATGGTTAACATTCTTAGGAGATACTGGTCACCTACGAAGTGAGAAAGGCATGAGGAGCGCCTGACCAAAGTGGTTTTGCCCTGCTTCCCACAAGAGGTGCCACCCACGGCTGGAACGCAGGAGTCAGGTTCCCCGTCCCCAGCTCTGCACGCCCGCAGCGGGCCCTCGAGTAGGTTCAGGGCGGTGCCCGCGGCACTCGGGCCGGGTCTCCCGGGGCGTGGGGCGGGGGGCGGAGCTGGGCGGCGGCCGGGGCTCCTCCCTTCTCCGCTCGGGCTCCCCTGCTCTTAACCCGCGCGCGGGGGCGCCCAGGCCACTGGGCTCCGCGGAGCAAGCGAGAGGTCTGCGCGCAGTCTGAGCGGCGCGCGTCCAGTCCCGAGGCCCACGCCAGCACGCCCTCATGGCCCCCGCAGCGGCGTCGGGGGGCAGCACCCTGCCCAGTGGCTTCTCGGTCTTCACCACCTTCCCCGACTTGCTCTTCATCTTTGAGTTTGTGAGTGACTCCTGGCCAGGGAAGGGACGGGGAGGGGCTGAGCCGTGCGCTCTCTCGGGCGCCCAGCACAGCTGTCGAACTGGATCCGCTAGCTGCGCAGGTCCCGGGAGCACCGGGGCAGCAGGGACAGGGCGGGGACTAAGCCAGGGAAGCCCCCTCCCACCTCCGGTCGTTTGTCCCCTTCTAGACCAACGGAATGAGGGAAACAGTCTACAGGACTATAGAGGAAAAACCGGGCTCCCAACCGGGGTCGGATGTTGGCAGCGGGTCAGGCGGGGACCACTCTTGGTGCGCTGGTCCCAAAGCTTCGCGCGGGGCCCTCCAGACGCGCCCGGCGCCGCCGAAGCTCACGCCGCGCTTTGCGCGGTTGGGTAGAAGTGCGCAGCTTTTTGAAGGGAGACAGTGTCGGGAAAAAAAATAAAATCACCAAAAGAAATGTTAGTGTTACCAACCGAGATCTGGAGATGAGAGGGAGTTGAATCCGGTTTATTTTCTTCTGGCCTTTTACAGTTTCTGGCGAGGGGACGTATTTGCGACCAATTCGATCTGGAAATGAGGCCCTAGTTTGCGCGGCCGCAGTCCTTCTGCCCCGTGTGTGGGGTGGGAGTGGAGGAGACGCGGGGCTGGGGGGGCGGCGAGAACGATCCGCGTGCCTCGGCTGACCTTGGGCAGCCCCGGGGCCTCTGCACCTGCGGTCGGTCCCGCCTTGCGCGCACGGTCTCTGCCTGAGGCTGCGGGAAAGCGCTTCCTACTGAGAACTCCTGATAAGCGCTCACTGCGTCGCGAAGCCGAAGTGACCTCCCTCAGCCTCAACTCCCCGGGGCCCACTGGCCCTCACCTGGGGGGGGGTGCCCTGTATATTCTGTGGGTGCGGTCCGTCGCCGCCTCAGGGACACCTTTTCCGGCACCCCACCCTCAGAAGCACCGGCGTGGAGAGTTGGAGGGGAAAGAAAATGTCGGAGCCTGGCTGTTTAAAAATTGGACCCCAGGTTGTTATTGCCTGATTGGAGGGGGAGGGTCAGTTCGTCCAACGAGGGCTTGGGGGCAGGGGCTAGGCAGGGGCCGCTGCGGCGGCCTGGGAGCAGGGCTGTCATTGAACTTGGGGTGAAAGTCGAGTCGAACCCAAACCTGGGTGGAACCGGTGACTTTAAATCCTAGGGATAGGCGGAATCAAAGCCGTTACATTTAGAGGAAACCCGGGACGCCAATGAACGCAGCCCCACCATTCACAGAGAGCCAGCCCCGCGCTGGCCTTCAACATACAAGAGGGAGTGCCCCTGAGAGCAGGAACAGTCCAGTGAGACGGGGCGATCTCATCTGCGGGAAAGGTGCCCGGAGGCTCCCACCCAGCCCACCAATGCTGCAGAGACTACGGGGTGTGGGAAACGTTGGAACCGTCTACTACTGGCAGCTTGCTCCGCCAGCGCCGCGTGGCTTTGTGGCCTGCCCATAGGGGGCTTCCAGAGCAAACAACTCCCCCTCGCCCAGAACGCTTCTCTCAGCTGACTTAGAAAGTCACTTCTCCACCTCACCCCTGTTCCCCACCTCCCTTCCTCACTTCCCAGGAGACCCGCAACGCACAGTCACCTCCAGGTGTCTTCCTCATGCTCTAGATTAGGGGTGCGCTAGCAGGTGCCTGGGAGAGAAGAGGAGAAAGCTGGCCCCAAGCCTCTCAGTTCTCCTCTGTGTGGACTGTAAACATGAAGCTGTATATATTTGATGTGTGGAAGGAATGCGGAATTAAAGGCCCTGAGAAGGCGCTGGCCACCCGGGGGGAGGTATTTTTTTTAATTATGGAATATTACAACTCAACAAAAAGACAACCCAATTAGAAAATGAGCAATGGACTTGAACAGAGGTTTCTACAAAGAAGATATACAAATGGCCAATATGGACATAAAAAGATGCTTAACAGCATCAGGCGTTAGGAAAACAAAATTGAAACCACAATGAGGCAAGGTGCGGTGGCTCACGCCTGTAATCCCAGCACTTTGGGAGGCTGAGGTGGATGGATCGCCTGAGGTCAGGAGTTCGAGACCAGACTGACCGACGTGGTGAAACCCCGTCTCTACTAAAAATAAAAAAATTTTTTTAAAAAACTTAGCCAGGCGTGGTGGCTCATGCCTGTAGTCCCAGCTACTCAGCAGGCTGAGGCATGAGCATCGCTTGAACCTGGGAGGCAGAGGTTGCAATAAGATCACGCTGCTGCACTCCAGCCTGGGCAACAGAGTGAGACTTGGTCTCAAAAAAATACATAAATAAGTAAATAAATTAAATAAATAAATAGAAAGAAAGAAATCACAATGAGATACCACTTCACATCCATTAGGCTGGCCAGCATCCAAAAAATGGAAAACATCAAGTATTGGGTGTGGAGAAATTGGAACCCTTGTATGTTGCTGGTGGGAATGTGAATGGTTCAGTCACTGTGGAAAACAGTTTGGTGTTCCCTCAAAAAATGACCCTCTGACCCAGCAATTCTACTCCTGGGTATATAACCAAAGGATTCAAAGCAGGGACTTTAGTATTGGCACATGCATGTTCATAGCAGCACTCTTCACAATAACACACAGCCCAGTGGCCATCAGCAATGAACTAAATAACAAAGTGTGACACACCCAAACGATGGATACGACCTGGCCATAGCAAGGAACGAAGTACTGATACGTGCTACAAAGTTGATAAACCTTGGAAACTCTATGCTAAGCGAAAGATACCAGGCACAAAAGGTCATATAGTGTATGATTCCGTTTATATAAAATATCTGGAATAGATAAACCTGTAGAGACAGAACACAAACCCTGGTGGTTAACCAGGCACCGAGGGGAGCAATTGTTTAATGGCTATGGGGTTTCCTTTTGGGGGGTAATGCAAATGCTTTGGAATTAGATTGAGTTGGTGGGTGCACAACACCATGAATGCACTAAATGCCACTGAACTGTCAACTTAAAATGATTGGTTTAATGATACGTGAATTTCGCTCATTTAAAAAACAAAAATAGAAATATTTCAAATACCACAGAAGAATATATATAATACTTTAACAGACACCTACATAATTATTGCCCAACTTTGTCAAATCTTAATATTTTGCCTTGTTTGCTTTTATGTATTAAAGAAATGAAGCTTTCAGATGGCATCTAAGCCCCCTAGACATCCTTCTGTTATCTTATCCTCTCTCTCCCTCCATCCTCAGGGCCACCTGTAGGCTGAATGTGGTGTTCACTTCCAAGCACAGTTTAGACTTTCACTGCACACATATGACCTACACATGGCATTGTTTTACGTTTTCACACTTTATGAAAATGCCAGCGTACCGTACATATCCTTCTGCAACATGCTTTCCAGGCAACATTACGTTCTAAGATTTATACATGTTGACTTTGTTTATCCAGTCTTCTGTTAATAGACACTTGGGATAGTTCCAATTTGCTGCCTTTAGCTACTGCAGACAGCATTGCCAAGAACATTCTCATATTTGCCTCTGTAGTTACCTGTTGGAAATTTCTCCCATAAACACGTGGAGGATGTGACTTGTTGGGTCACAGGGGATGTGCACATTGTCATTTTCCCAGATGTTACCACATTGCCGTCCAAAAGAGTAATTCCAATTTACACACCCCAGGAGCAGATTTACTGGGAAGCCGATGATGTTTAATTAAGTTCAAGACCCCTCCTTACTCCAGCCCTTTCCAAGACTCTGCCTGATTTTGTATTCTTTTATAAAGATGGTCCCCCCAATTGTTTAAGCTTCAGGCTAAACCTGGACCTTCCCCGGCCCCCACCAGCAGCACATGAAAGTCGCCATTGTTCCTCATCACTTGCTAGCGTCAGACTTTATAATTTTCTGCTAATCCGATGGGTGTGAAATGCTTGATTATTTTTTAAATCTGTAGTCCACTGAGTTGTTGATGACTCATGGTTCACATTCTCATGCCTGACCTCCCAACAGCCTGGGAGGCGCAGATGTCCAAGGCGATCAGGGTGGAGCACCACTTCCATGGTGAGGGGACTGCCCACTGGAGCAAGTGAGGGTGGCAGCTCAGGGTGGGGCATAGCCATCTCTCTTTGGCCCTGCAGCCCTATCCCAGACCTCCTGACCTCTGAAATCTGAAGAGTCCTCACAGGAAGAGGAAGGCAGGTCCAACTAGGAAGTGAGACTGCCTTTCCAAATACCTCCAAAGTCACAGAGGCTGTGCCCCTATTGCAGGTGGTGGGGTCATCAGCGCAGCCCCATATAGGCCACAGGTGAAATGGCCAGTGTTCTCTCCTCCTCCAACAAAACCCAGGGCTTTGCCTCTGGTCTGCTCCCCTGCAAAAGTCCCACCCAGTGAGGAACTTTTCCTTTTGGAGCCACTCTCTATCTCCTCATTCTCCATTCTAAGCCAGGGGCTTCATGACACTGAGCCACCATTCAGGAAACAGAAGATGTGCAGGGAAGGCTTTCTGTCTCAGCTATGGCCCCCAGACGCAAGGTCTCCCACAGAGAGACCCCTGTGCCAGGAGAGACCCCTACCCTTTCAGGACTTGTGAAGGAAGTGGCTGAGGAGGGCTGTGAGATCATCTACTCAGCCTCTCCTCCCCAGGCCACAAAGGAAGCAAGGTTGTGAGTGAGAGCCTGAGGAATGCCACCAGCCCTCCAGGGGCACGCCCTCCTCCTCTGTGCCGCAGAAGCACCAAGAGAAGTGCGGTCACATCACGGATTGGGGTTGGGGTGGGGAGACACCTGAAATCAGTTTGCAGTTTTGACAGTTTCTGTGAACTGGACAGAG